AAATGTTTAAGAAACCATGTTTAGAAGTTTTCCTAGTCAGGAAAGGCCAAATAAAAAGGGTATCGTGTGTGTGAGTAATGGGGGCTCTCATTTCACTAAGGAGATGACAGAGGCTGTGCAGATGTTTTTCTCTGTGATCTCCTCTCCTCCTACAAATCATGCCCAGAGGAGGGATCTCAGGGGTCTCCCCCTGCCTCTCCAGACCCTTCCCCATACCCAGGTCAGCCTGGGCAGAGGGCAGCAGAGCTCACATCTGTGTGGAGAGCAGCCGTGCACTTTACCCAAGTGGTGAAGGAAGGCCTGGGGGGAGCACCACCTGGGAGGCACCATGAAGCGGGTAAGGACACCTGCCCCAACCTCTTGTGCCCTAGGTGTTGGGATGAGACAGGGCCTGGGGAGAGATGCACCATCAGTCCTGTTGTCTCCTGGGGCCCCAAGTCAGAAAGGGTCAGCTCAGGTGGGCCCATTGGTGTCCACTAGGTGGTACCGCTGTCCTGTCTCACTGCTGTGCCTTTGAGGCACGGGATTGCACTTCTCCCAGAGAAAGCTGTTCTGTGGTATCAAACTCTCAGTGAGGTGCCTCAGTGCCACTCTCCTCCTGCACATCATCCCCTGCACTCCCCAGCTCAGAGCCCCAGCCAGGGGCCCCCAAGAAAGGCGCTGGTGGAGAACCTGCGCATGAAGGCTGCCAACCGGTCCATAGGCAAGCCTGGCTGCCTCCGGCTGGGTGGACAGACGGGGGTTGGAGAAGGGGAGAAGAGGAAAGGGGGGCTGCCTGCCCTGTCTCCCACCTGAGGCTGAGGAAGGGGAGGAAGATGACATGGAAATGTGCTGTTGGGGAGGCAGCTGTGACTCAAAGCCTGAGCCTCCGTTCCCACAAAGGCAGGACCATCAGGCACCGAAGGGATTCTGCCAGCATAGTGTTCCTGGACCAGTGACACACCCGGCCCCGTCCTGGCCAAGCTGCCAGCCTGGATCTGAGCCCTCATGCAGGTCAATGCCACCTTTGGTTCGGCCATTGCTACTGTGTGGAAGTTCAGTCCTGCCTTTTCCTTTCCCGAGAGCCTCCACCACCCCGAGATGGCATTTCTCACTGCCTTCTGTCTGCCCAGTTTCACCAGGAGAAGTCGGCCTCTTCCTGACAGGCAACTGCACCACTGCCTGGTGCTGCACCTTCTTCCTGACAGGCAACTGCACCACTGCCTGGTGCCGCGCCGCCTTTGCTCTGCCCACTGGAGACAGTGTCTGTCATGAGCCTGGTCTGCAGGGATCGCGCTACAAAGGTGAAACCCAGGAGAGTGTGGAGTCCAGAGTGCTGCCAGGACCCAGACACAAGCATTAGTATCCACTGGAGAAAGCAAGTGAACCCCAAAGAAATGGTAGGTCTGGGCCATCCTTGAGGTCTTCCCAGGGCAGCTCCCCTCTGTGGAATCGAATCTATCTTCCATCCCGCATGGCTGAGCGCCAGGCTTCTCACTGGGCCTCTGCAGGAGGCTGCCTTTTCTGTCCTGCCCACCTTCTTAGAGGCGAGATGGAGCAGACGCATCTGCTTCTGCCATTTCTATGATAACTACAGTTAGCTGCCCTGGACTATTCACCCTCCAGTCTCAATTTAGAAAGATCCGCATGGCCACAGGGCTCCCGCCCGGGGTGCTTGTCACTTTCCCCACCACCTTCCTGAGTCACTCCTGCAGCCCTGCTCCCTAACCTGCCCCACAGCCCTGCCTGGATTTGTATCTCCCTGGCTTGGTGCCAGTTCCTCCAAGTCGATGGCACCTCCCTCCCTCTCAACTACTTGAGCCAACTCCAAGACACCTTCTACTCCAACACCAGCAATGGTGCCAAGGGCCATTAGGCTCTCAGCATGACTATTTTTAGAGACCCCGTGTCTGTCACTGAAAGCTTTTTTCTGTGGGAGACTATTCCTCCCGCCTGCAACAGCTGCCCCTGCTGACTGCACCTCTCTCCTCCCTCTGACCCCAGAGAAATGGGTCAGCTGGGATCTTCTGCCCCCATTGCCTAGGGACCAACGGGCAGGAGGAAAGTCACTGACCCCCAGACGTTTGCATCCTGCACAACTAGAGGTCCTTTATTAAAAGCACGCTGTTGGTTTCTGCTCAGTTCCTTATTGATTTGTGTGCTGCTTTCTCTGGAAGCCTCCTTAGAGAAGAGAAGAACACACTGGTACAGGCTGGGTGGAGCCGCCCCCTGTGGAGCACAGGCAGATAGAAGCCCCCGCCCCAGCCGTGTGGCCTCAGGCCAGCCTTCCGCTCCTTGCAGGTGGTCTCCGCACAGTGCTGGTTCCATCACCACCCGCTCCCAGGGAAGCCGGTCTCAGCGGGTTGTCCTGGCTGTGTCCATGTCAGAGCAACAGCCCAAGTCTGGGTCTGGGGGAGGAAGGTGTCATGGAGGCCCCTAGGATTCCCAGTCATCCTCGTCCTCCTCTGCCTGCGGCTGCTGCGGTGGTGGCAGAGGAGGGATGGAGTCTGACACGCGGGCAAAGGCTCCTCCGGGCCCCTCACCAGCCCCGGGTCCTTTCCCAGAGATGCCTGGAGGGAAAAGGCTGAGTGAGGGTGGTTGGTGGGAAACCCTGGTTCCCCCAGCCCCCAGAGACTGAAATACAGGAAGAAAAAGGCAGGAGAGAGTGACAACGGGCCGGCCCAGGGCGGGCAGCGGCCCTGCCTCCTACCCTTGCGCCTCATGACCAGCTTGTTGAAGAGATCTGACATCAGGTCCCCACCTTGGCTCGTGGCTCTCACTGCAACGGGAAAGCCATAGACTAGGGCGAAGAGTTCAGTCACAGGCGACCCGTGGCTCCCTGTCCCCACCCGTGACACTCCCCAGCCCTCCAAGGCCACCGTGCTTCCCAGTTAGCTTGGAGCCTCAGTCTATCACTGGCCCAGCACCAGGCTGATGAGAAAGTGGTTATGTCTGAGAAGCACTCTCCCAGCCACCTCAGGGACAGGACCAGGGTGTGCAGCACTGACGGATGGGGAAACTGGCCCAGAGAGGTGCATCGCATCACACCAGTGTCTGGGTTCGCAGCAGGCATCATCAGTAGCCTCAAGAGGCCTCAGGTCCAGTCTCTAAAAGTATCTCAGGAGGCTGCGGGGGCTGACCATTGCCCTGGACCACTCAGCAGTCGAAGAAGATTCTCCTTGTCACAGTTGGAGCTGGGTGCGCTTACAGAGGAGAGCTCCACTATGGCTCCGAAACCAGGAAGGAGCCATGGCCCCGGCGGGAGGGCTGAGGACCTCTGTTGGCGGGCCAGGGCGTCCAGCCTGTGCCCTAGGGGAAGCAGGGGCCTGCTGGCAGGGGATGGGCAGGAAACAGCCAGTGGACTCAGGGCTGGAGGAGAGGAGGCCATCTTGCCCAAGGCCCTCCGACCACAGGCTCCAGGGCCCGCTCACCTTGCTCCTGCTCCTTCTGCTTCTTCTTCTCCAGCTTTCGCTCCTTCACGCTGCGCAGTTTGGCCTTGCCGATGCCCCCGGCTTGGCGGATGGACTCCAGCAGAGTGGCCCGGCCACCAGAGGGGTCGACCACTTCCTTGGGAGCTCCCTGGACTGGAGCTGGGAGGTGCGGAACGGGGCAAGGAGAAAAGGCTGCTCAGGCAGGCCTGGGGAAGCTTATTGTGCCAAGAGCCTGCTGGGAGGGAAGGCACCTCCCCTCAAACGAGGAGCCCCGTGCTGGGGAGGCTGGACCTTTGCAGACTGTGTAGGGCCTGGGCACTGACCTCTGCAACCACCTGAGCACAGGCATCCTGTGTGCGACACTCCCTGCTCCCTCTCCAGCCCCCACCCTGCAGAGCTGGGCAGTCTCAGTGGCACACATGAGCCAGCAGAGGGGTTCTGTGCCACTTCTGGATGCTAGGGATAGACTGGGAGATAGAACAGTAAAGCTGAAATGTTGTAATTTCAGTGACACTGAAAAATGTGTTGCTGTAGTTTGTTATTAGACCCCTTCTTTCCATTGGTTTAACTAGGAATGGGGAACCCAGAGCCTCACTTGTTCAGGCTCCCTGCGCACTAGAGGTGAGAATTCCAGAGCTCTACAGCTTGAAAACTACTATTTTATGGACCAAGTAGAACAAGATATTTGAAATGGGAACTATTCAAAAAATCGAGGATTTCTGACCACTGAACAAACCCGCAGAAAATCCACCTGAGTGCACAGAGCACACCAGAAACGAGCTGCTCCCACCTGAAGGACACGCGCTGCTGCTGTTGTCCTGCCTGGCGCCTTGGCCTACAGGGGCCGCGGTTGAGGGTGGGAGTGGGGGTGCACTGGCCAGCACCTCAGGAGCTGGGGGAGGTGGTGGGGGCGGTGGAGGTGGTGGGGGTGCTGTTAGTACCCCATCTTGTAGGTCTGAAACACAAAGTGTGGGGTGTCTAGGGAAGAAGGTATGTGAGCAGGGAGGTCCCTAGCCCAGCCCTCATCCCAGAGCCCAGCTCACCTGTCTTGAGAGGCTCAGCTACCTCAGTGTGGAAGGTGGGCAGTTCTGGAATGGTGCCAGGGGCAGAGGGGGCAATGCCAGGGCCCAGGTCGGCACTGTACATGAGGTCGTTGGCAATGCCGGGCAGGTCAGGCAGGTAGGATGGCACATCAATCTCAGGCACCTGGCCCAGGTCTGGCACATAGAAGTAGTTCTCTGGGACCTGCAAGATGAGGTAGGGACATGTGAGTGGTGACAGGGACCCGCAGGGGCAGCCAACAAGACCTTGTGTGCACCCCCCATGGGTGGAATAAGGGGCTCAACAGCCTTGCCTGGAGAGGAGCCCTGGCAGGGCCCCTGGCCACTGCACCTGTCCCCACCCCTGCCCCGCCCCTCCCACCTGCTGTTCCAGCTGCTCTCTCTTGCTGATGGACAAGGGGGCATCAAACAGCTTCTCCTCTGTCTCCGCCCCCAGCATCACATGGGTCTTTGTTACAGCACCAGCCAGGGGGTCCAGGAAGACATACTTCTTGTACCTACAGGGGTGACATGGGGGTCAGGCAAGCTGACACCTGCTGTCCTGAGCCCATGTTCCTGACCTACCTCTCCACATCATCAGGGGCACAGTGTGCACTGTGGGGTCCCAGACCTCCCAAGCCAAGCCACCCCAGTCACCCCTGGCTCCTGGCCTATGTGCTGTACCTGTGTCTGATGCCCTGGGTCCCCACTAAGCCAGGCTGGGCCTCCCGCCCACACCCCTCGGCCCTGCCTTCTGGCCATACAGGTTCTCGGTGGTGTTGAAGAGCAGCAAGGAGCTGACAGAGCTGATGTTGCTGGGAAGACCCCCAAGTCCCTCTTCGGCGTCATCCTCAGGCTCCAGCTTGGCGCTCACACACACAGGAAAGTACTTCAGCTTCTCCTGGGAGGGCCAGGATGGCCAAGGGATGGTGAATATTTACTGCTGAGCCTAATCAGCTGCCACCCCATCCCAGTCAGCCTCCTCCGGGGGATAGAACCCTACAGTGGCCCCGGCTCCTCCCCAGTATCCAGTCCTCCTGGTGTGACCCGGGCTATGTTATGTGCGTGGCCAGCAGACCTGCAGGGCCCGCTCGTCCAGGGGGCGGTGCTTGCTCTGGATCCTGTGGCGGGGGCGTCTCTGCAGGCCAGGGTCCTGGGCGCCTGTGAAGATGGAGCCATATTCCTGCAGGCGCTCTGGAGCAGGGTACTTGGCACTGGAGAACACCTGTGGACACAGGGACAAGTCTGAGGGGCCCCAAGAGGCTCAGGGGGCTAGGATTGCTTGGCAGGAGAGGGTGGGGTTGGGAGCCTGGGCAGGAGGAAAGTCCAAGGTACAGGTGGACAGCAAGGCAGAGACTGGGCAGCCTCAGAGGTACGGGGAAATGGAGGGACTGCCCAGTAGCCTTAGGACACAGGGGCATGGGGGCTACCTTGATGGCCTTCTTGCTGCCCTTGATCTTCTCAATCTTGGCCTGGGCCAAGGAGACCTTCTCTCCAATGGCCTGCACCTGGCTCCGGCTCTGCTCTACCCGCTGGGAGATCCTGCCACGGAGAAGATCACAGAGGCTGGGGCTGCTCCCCACCCCCTGCACACCTCCTGCTCCTAACAGCAGGCCTGCCAGGCCAGGCCTTCAGGCAAGGGCTCCTAAGTCAGGGTCACCTGCTTGCCAGGGCCCATCTTGGTACCATCCATGTGGCCTCTACAAGGATAATCTGACCTGCAGGGGCGAGGAGCTGACGGTACTGAGTTCCCCGCACTCTCAGCAGGGACAGACCCTATGCTGGCACCTGTACATGCTATCTGAAGGACAGCCTCCAGGGCACACAGAGGATGGTATTTACACATGCACACATGGCTACTGATGGGGCAAGCATTTCACAACCCCTCATGATCACGTGAAGCAGACAAAGTGGCCTCTGCAGAGGGGGAATCAAGACCGGAGGCTGGACTGGCAAGGCTGGACCTAAATTCAGACAGGGAACTGCCCCTGCACAGTGAACGGCTCACTGAGCAAACCCTGAGTCCTGACCACGGCCCATGGGCTCTGTGTGGTGTAGCTCCTCACCCGCTCCCATCCTCCCTGGTGTGGGTGGGCCCAGTGATACCAGCTGCCCTGCTGTCCCCCAGATGTACCAAGTGCATTCCTGTGTGCTTGCATCTCATGGAACGCCATTTCCCCAGACATCCCTGTGGCTGGCTCCCGGTGCCCGAGGCCCGGATGCCTGATGCTTTGAGGCACACAACCCCACTCATGCTTTTCCATGTTCTTTGGCCACAGCAAGGCCGCTCTCACTGCAAAGTTAACTCTGATGTGTATGTAACACAACATCCTCCTCCCAGTCGCCCCTGTAGCTCCGCTACCTCCAAAAACCCAGCCCTTGCCCACAAGGGCCACACTCCACATTCAGAGCAGCCTCAGCATCCACCTGGCACGCACGAGCCTGTGTGATGCACAGGAATGAGAAGGCAGAGGCGCAACTGGGGTTCATGAGGAAAGGTAGGAGGAGGATGTGGGGTGGTAGAGGGGTTGCAGACTCTGGGCTAGGGAATGCTGGGATTTCTCTAAAGGTTGGAATGAATGGCCTAGAATTGGACCCTAAAAGCCAAAGCCACCTCCACCAACTTTAGAAGGCCTTGGCCCCCAGAGAGCCAATTTCACAATCCAGGAGTCCCCGTGCCCTAATGAGTCTGCCCTGATTACTCCTGGCTCCTCGTGTGCAGGGCGCTCAGGCATGGCAGGGCTGGGAGTACCAGCAGGCACCCAAGCAGCTTAGGTGTTCCATGACAGACTGGTATGAAGGTGGCCACAACTCAGACAGAAAAAAGAAGAGCACCATCTCCTTCCAGTGAGAAAGTGGGGCCCCACCCAGCGGGTGCTCCATCTTTTCTGGCTGGGGAGAGGCCTTCATCTGCTGTTAAGGGTCCTCCAGCACAAGCTGTTTTAATTTACCCTAGTTCCCAAGGCAGCCTCGTTCTGCCCCTGGGTGTTGACACGACCTTCAGAAGTTGCATAAGCTCTGCACTCGAGATCCACAGGGGCAGTGGGAGGGAACTGAGACTGGGGAGGGACAAAGGCTGCTCCGTCCTGGTGCTCCCACAGAGGAGAGAAGGGCTGATCACTCAAAGTTGCAAACACCAAGCCCAACAACGAGCCCTGAAAAAATTTCTCGAATGGATTATTAAACAGAGAATCTGTAAGCACTTAGAAAAGGCAGCGGTGAGTCCCAGGGGCCAGCACGGCTCGAAATGCACAGCGTTTGTCTCTGTAACAGGGTTATGAGCCTGCTGTACCCGGGGAAAACTTGCAGCACAGTGCATCTTGAGTCAGCACGGATTTTGACGGCTTCTAACAAAATCTTGGAGACAAGATGGAGCTATGGGCGTTGGAGGAGAGAACATACAGGAAAAACCAGAGCCAAGTGAACCACGGCCCCAAAGGGCACAGCTGAACAATGGACTGATTCCAGCCTTGCACGGAGGGACCTGGCAGAGTCCATCCAGTTCATTCAACACCCGGTTAGAAAACTGGGGCCAGCACATAGGGGAAGGGTAAACTGGTCTGCATGATCGAATCAAGGCTCAGATAATTTTTAAAGGCCAGAGGGTAGACTGCAATCACCAAGACGAAATTTACAAGGAACAAATGTGAAGCCCAACATCTAGGTTTTAAAAAGTGCATAAATATAGAAGGTGGAGGGAACTTGGTTTAGACACAGTTCAGGTGAAGAAAGACCTGGAAGCTTCTGTTAACTACAAGCTCAGTAGGAGCTAAAAGCATGTTAATTAGCATAAAAAGGCAATGTGATCTTAGGGCACACAGCTCCCCGTCCCTCTTCCGCCCTTCATCCTTCTTTGAATCAGCAGGGACCGTGCACTCTCTCAGAGGCACCACAGAAAACAGAGTCCTGGAATCATGAACGAATCCATGCCAGGCACCAGTCTCGGCCAGTCACATCTCTTTAAACTGAATCCACACTGTAAGAGGACTCTGAACTTGCCTGCAGCCTGCAAAGTCTGTCTCATTCACTGCTGTGTCCAGCACCCGGGACGGGGCCTGATGTGTCACAGCCGCTGGCTGAACAGAAAGTGACAAATGAGCAAACATCTCAGGGAGGGTGATAAGGATGGTGATGAGTGAGAAACTCCCGACATATGAAGATAACTGAAGGATGTTCTGACTAAAGATCAGAAGACTTTGAGAATATGATCATGCCCTTCGAATATCAAAAATATCAGAAGGGCTGTCAGGTGGAGAAGTGAGTACACTGACATCAGGAATTGTGGGCAGAGTTGCAAGGAAACAGATCTCTGTTCTGTTAAAAAAAAATTCTAATAAACAACTGCATCACTTTGCAGAGCAATGAGGTTGCAGCTCACAAGCGCCTTCCAGGGGTGCCCCAAGGGCGAATCCTGGATAAGGTGGAGGTGGAGACATGATCCTGGGGCTCTCTCCTTAGCCAAGAGTCCGTGAGACTAAGGAACTTGTGCTTGTTGACAAAGCCCCCAACAGTCTCTTCTCTTATGGTCACAGGCTATAGTGCCGAGGACGATGCAGACTCAGGATCAGAAAGCTTGCAGCATATCTGCTATCCCCATGGACTAGCCGGATGGTCTGGAAGGCTGCGTCGGGAAGGCCTGTAGGCCTCACTGGGGCCAGGCCATGGAACAATGTCCACCCTTCGGGTGGGGGGATGGTGCCATGAGAGCCGTTTGTCAGTCATTCCTGGTCCAGACACCTTTGGCTTGGTGGCCGACTTCAAGGTAGGTCAGTTTACAAGCTCAGTGCTGAAGCCACACCTATGGCTCACCCAGCACTACAGAGGATGCTGCCTCTGGGTATCAGGGATGGAAGGGGCTCACCCAGCCTGTTCTGCCCGTGGTCTCACTAAGGGTCCGTCTTCCTCTAGCTGCCCTGGAGGGGACCATCTCCAAGCATCCCTTGCTTTCCTTCTCCCCCCCTACCCCTGCTTTCCTTCTCCCCCCTCCACCCCTGCTTTCCTTCTCCCCGCTCCACCCCTGCTTTCCTTCTCCCCGCTCCACCCCTGCTTTCCTTTTCCCCGCTCCACCTCTGCTTTCCTTCTCCCCCCCACCCCTGCTTTCCTTCTCTCCGCTCCACCCCTGCTTTCCTTCTCCCCCCTCCACCTCTGCTTTCCTTCTCCCCCCCACCCCTGCTTTCCTTCTCCCCCCTCCACCCCT